AAATTTCAAAATTTAAGAAATAAAATTAACACGTGCATCATATGTTAAATATACGAATTCATATTAAAGTTGCGTTATGGCCAATGCACGGTTAAACTATGGTCGCTGGTTGCTGTAGCAGACAACTTAATCTATAATCTTAACTATTGGATTATTGGATATTTATTGTTAATTTTATTTCTCTTTATTTCATACAACGTAACATAACTTAACCAAATGCGAACTTCAGACTAATAATTGCTACTATTATAAATAAATTTAATAAACATAACCAATCCCTTTTAATCATGACTGCCGCCCATCTACTCTTATCGTCCTGAAAATAATAAGTGAAGATGCTTAATAAATTAAGCATTGTAATTAGTTGAAAATATATAAGGAATAATGAATTTAAATGAAGATGAGCTACTTTTCTTAAGTAAAAAATATTTGTTCAAAGCTATATTTTTTTATAGTTCCTGAGGATGAACGTTGTGATTAATTTAAGTAAAATATTAAATATACACGAAAAAAGTAAAATAATTCTAAGGTAACGAAGTACCTCACAAAAAACATTAAAACTAAATTAAAAATACTTGGAAAGTTTGTACAATCTTGGCTACTTGTGGAAAAAACACGACTAATCATCGCTTCTAACTTCACAGGCATGAGTTCTAAGCCTGGCATTTGCAGTTCAAATAAATTACATACGGACTATAAATTAATTAAAAAATTTGAATATTTGCTAAGAATACTGATGATGAGTACTTGGCAATACTCGAAACAGCGTATGGTCAGCTAAACTTCAATAAATTGACTAAAAATGTTTGTTGTTGTCTTTTCATTTGTATTCGAACCCTTCTGACTTTTAATTGAAAATGTTTGTAAAAATTGAAATAAAATAAAAAGAAGTTCCATAAATTATTGATTTCATTAGACTCACATTATTAAATACTGAAAATTTGATTTTTATTTTTTGGTGTGGGAAATATATGGATAATACTAAAGTATATAGAGCAAATTTCAATTTTTAATCTTAACTACATGAAAAAAAAGATTTTTGGTAAAGTAAAGAAAAGTTGAATAAAATTATTGATTTTATTGGATTCACATTATTCAATAATGTGAAATACTAAGAATTTTATTTTTATTTCTTATTATGGAAAATACATGAATTATAGTAAGTATATTAAGCAAATTTCAAAGCTTACTACATGATAAAAAAAGATTTTTGATGAACTAACACCATTTTCGTACTATATAGCTTATTTAAGATGCCAAGTGATTTATTTTGTAGAACAAAAAAATTATAATCTCAAAACGATTTTATGGGCCATTAGAATTTTATGGACTCCCAAAGCATCATATAATCAACATCGAATCATTAAAAAACCAATATATTTTGAACATGATTTTTATAATGTTTCCTTAACGAGTCGTTAATCTTTCGCTTGTTGTGATAAAAATAAAATTTATAAACGCAATCATAAATTTTTTTCCCAAACACCAGAAAATAAAAGAACTTTAGGTAATATAAGAAATATTTGCACACTTCATTGTTGCTGATTTGTAATTATTTTGCTTATATCTAAAAATATATATATATTTCTTATTGCACACTTAATTAACACTTTATTCCTTTCTGTGTAGTAATAATTACTAAGCGAAGTGAAATGAAAATGATTCGCACTCGTATAAATTCTGTGCTAATTCTCCTTAAAAATCATTAGGTTGCACTCGAGCACCACTACAGATAAATATACTCATGCACGATTACTAAATTAAGGACACCACTGCACATAGTGATTATTTTTATATATATTTTTTATACTTTTTGTATGTCTGGCACTTACCATCAGCTGTCGGATTCTCACACAGCCACATTTTACAGCAATGGCCTGGTACCTCAACCATTCGAGGTGATCTGCATGAAATTGTATCCTCCGGTGCCGGAAGCTGTTCTTTCGGACACAACGATGAGCAAGCATGACGGCCATTCTGCGAAACGGTACACAGAAACAACACAAAAAAATAAATAATATTAATAAAAATGAAGTGAAGTACAAAATGTGCTATGTGAGCAAGTGTAAGGCAAAAACAACATTGAAGTGTAAATAAAATAAAATTACCAAAATAAAGTCAACATTGTATAAGGACTTGTAGCAAAAGCATTATATAACCACTTTCCAACGTTTCTGCGGCCATATTTGTTGCTATAACACAGCAACAAATGAAAACACAAATAAAAGCAACATTACCAGGAGTTGCCATACTCACAAAACAAGGACGACCATTGTTACTGCTGAATTATTTGCTTATCTTATTCCACTGGTACCGTTTCTTCACTCGGTATTTTCCAATTTTTTATACACTCCAAAAAAGAAACTCAATTTACGATTTAAATGAAATTGTGGCGAATAAATCGCAAAACAAGAAACCTATGAAGGTTTTAAGATGAGGAGCTTTTGCTTAGAAGGTGAAAAATGCGCATTTGAAAAGTGCATGGATTAAGTTTGCTTCAAACGCAACAGGGGGAAAAACAGAACAAACTGATTACAATTTCAAAATCTTTTCAGGTGTGGAGGTAACGATTTCAGTTAAGATATTATATATTTAAATTGGAAGTATTGTGATAAGTGCTTCAGTTAAGATTTGGAAAAATCTTGGCCTTATTTTTTTCTTTATTGATATTCTTTCAATTGTTATGAGATATGAGATTGGGCATGTGCTTAGTGCGAGACAACTCACTTATTTTGCACTATTTTATTAACTTAGTAATATTCTTATTAAAAAAGAAAATAAGGAATATGATGCCTACCCATCTACTTCTTTATTTCAATTTGTCACCAAAGTGCATGTAAAAAAATTAAAAACTTTCTGAGATTAGAACCACCTCTTGTAATATCAGAATATTTAATGCATGATAATATCTTGAAATAAAAACAAATTTTATATTCTTATATAGATGGGCTATATTTCTTATTAGGTATTATATTTCTTTCGGTATGCATCAATTACCTTGATATTTGTTGATAATTGCCCTAGCTGTTTCAATATGAAAAAGTGAAGCACTAAAGATATGTTCTAGGATAGGAGTATTGGAAAAATCACAGGATAGAACAGGAGACTAGTGTAATGAGAAAACGCAAATCTTTGCAATACTTGAGCGAAATTTATTAAAGTTGTATTGGAATGAATCTCGAATAAAATTATCAAAAGATTGGTGTTAAAGGAATTTAAACAAAACTGTCATAAAACAAGGGCAAGTGAAAAATTTCTCATCTCTCAGCAATAAGAATATCAAATAAAGTAGTTTCACTTAGCAGAACTCCAGTTGATAATTTTTTAGATCACTATAACCTCAGCCATCACCTTAATAAATCAGGTTTTCCATTCATTGATAACTATCGATTTTGTTGAACAGTATTGCAAAATATTTTAAACTACATTCTGCACAGGTTCCTGGTCACTATTCTGTAGTAGGTAAGTTGTTGGGTAATACCTTATCAATGACATTGTGAATTCTGTTCGTAAAGGACTGTAATCTTGCAATGTAATTTTTACCATCGTTAGACCGCTAACTTTGTCGATTCTATTCACAAGGGATTGAGATCAAGATAATGAAAAGCTCGTAAATAAAACTGATAGCGAAGAAGTTGGATTAAACCCGTGCATATTCTTGTTTTATATGCCGGAAGTAGTACACACCTAACAATCTTGGCTTGAAAGTATTATACTTTATAAAAAAATTTAAAATTTCATCTTATTTAGTTAATATACAATACAATATGTGCGAACAGCTATATATACCTAGAGTTATATATGCCAAGGTGCTAACAGAAGAGAGATATTTAAGGAGATGACTCCTTCGGGATTGTAGCTAAATCTGGCAAGCTGCTACCAATAGTAAGAAATTTTAAAAGACACTTGATACCTTATACCCGTCCAGAATAGCTAAATTTCCCAAGTTACTAACAATGGAAAGAGATTTTAAAAGATGATAGAAGCCCTATACTCCTCGAGCAACCCAGAATATGAAAGAAAGTAAGTATTATGTTAACACAATAATAAAACAAAATTTTTGAATAAAATATAAAAATATTGCATTAAATCATCAGAACTTAACAACACACATTTGTATCTTTATTTGGTTCTCTTTAAGACTTTCAAAACTCAGCACAGATTTTTTTATCAAAATCGATTTAAAATTTAGGAACCAAAGTTAATTAAATAAAAAGTACTACTAAACTGCCAAAATGCCCACATAAATCCTTTGTGTATTTTATATGCAATCCACTCTTGCTCAGTGCTGATAAAATGTTCTGAATACAGATTGAGTTCAATTTAATTGAAAACATTTATCTACAACACAAATAAAAGCATTCACACGTAGATACACCACCCGTACACCATTTGAAATAGAGTAAATGTCAACTTACCTCGCAGACACATTGTGTTTTGCAATCCAATTTGAATGTCTGTCCATGTGCATATGTTGTATTGCCAACAGTGCAGTTTGCTGTGTTGCGATGCGATGCGATGGGATGCGATGTGATGCGATGCAATTCCAACGGAAACCGGAAGTCATTTTGTTGTTTGCAAAACGCAAATGCCATAGAATGAATTTAACAAGAAAAATGATTTAAATTGTTATTGCATTCGTTTCGAAATTAAGTTTTACTACAATTTCGGCTATAAAAATGGGCACCAAGTGAAATGCCAAAAAACGAATAAAATTGAATTGCATTTCTTTTGTCTTGTCTTGCATAAGAAAAAATTTTGTTTTTTTTTTATATCTTTAAATTTTTTTTTGTTAGGAATATTGTAAAAATTTTATTAGAAACAAAACTGCAAATAGTTTCCTTATGCTTCACTACATATTCCCCCCATCTATGTAAGCACTGAAGTGTAAGCTTTTCTTTTCACACTCACAACATATGTGTTATTTAAATTATTAAGAGCCCTCAAGATAGTTGTGCTCCATCGGGTTTTATATAAAATAAAGTAAAATGAATTTTTATTTGACTATATTATGTATAATATTTGTTTTGTTTTTTAATAAAAAGTACTTTTAAAGTTATACAAGCAACAAATTTAATATATTTCTTTATAAGCATTGTTGGCTTTGCTTTTACTTAGAATGGTTATCAATTTTGTTATATTTTGATAATTAATTTTTTAAAAGTTTACTTAAAGGTTACCTGATATATTAGATCATTATGAGCCTTTATGGTATATTCGTCAGTAAATACATAATTGCAATTAAAATTGTGAAAATCGTACTTGGGAAAATGTTTGATATAAATAATTGAATTCATTTGTAATGATTTAATTTTACTGTTTAATTTTAAATAATTAATAATTCTGTAATTACTATAAATTTTATGTAAACTTTTATTGAAGGGAACGAAAATCTGAAAAAATTAAAAATTATTATGGTAGAAAAAAAAATAAATAATTGAATTCATTTTTAATTATTTAATTTTATTGTTTAATTTTAAATAATTATTAATTCTGTAATTACTATAAATTTTATGTAAACTTTTATTGAAGGGAACGAAAATCTGAAAAAATTAAAAATTATTATGGTAGAAAAAAAAATAAATAATTGAATTAATTTTTAAATATTTAATTTAATTATTCAACAATATGAAAAATTATTAATTATAAATTACTATAAATTTTATGAAAATTTTCAACAAGTTTTAGCTTATTAAATTATTTAAAGTTAATTTTTTATAAATATTAAATACTTTTATTTGTGACCAAAAATTATTATTATAATAATTTGTTATCGGGCTAATTGGTCAAATTTAAATATAAATAAAAAGACACTAATTTATTATTTATATTTAAAAATCGTTTATACTTTATTTCCAAAATTTCGACTATCTTCGACTATCTTCAGGGAAAACTACTGAAGATGACTATCGTCGAAATATCGGAAATAAAGTATAAACGATTTTTAAATATAAATAATAAATTAGTTAATTTTTTATGTAAATTTATGTCGTTTTCGATTGGTAAGTCTAAATTCAATCTAGATTTAGTCTCGATCTGTTAAATTTTGTTGCCAAATCGAACATGTTGTGAGTAAACTAACAGTTTTATGATATTGTTAATGAACATTCATATGTTTTATAAAAATATATATCGAATCAAAACACACTTTATCTGTTAAATCTTATAAAACAGCTAATATGTTTACATATCATTTAAGTGTTCTAGTTCATCTTTACTTGTTCTTTTTAAAAGATTTTATCAATTTTGTGTAAAATGCAATTTGTATATCTGGGTTTGTATTTCTGTATTGTATTTCTAAGACACACTATCTGGCAACTCCATTAGCTCTATATAGTTACATACAATATCTCTCAGGCTGAGAACCCAAATGAAAGAAAAGTTGTCGTATCATATTGACAACTTTGTGCCATTGCAGAAAGGCAGTAGCGGTGTTGGGGGTTGGCACGGTAAGGAGACATTCTGAGAAACTAAAGGAATATATGATCCAAGTCAAAATGTAGTTTTCTCAGATTATGAGATTATATTTTTCTGAGGCAGTCATACAACAATGATAGTAGCAGAAAGACAGTACTGGCGTTAAGAGTGTGTGAAGTGAGTTGAGGTTCCAGAATAATAAAAAGAAAGAGGAAAATATTCAATTAAAAGCCACTGATTATTTCATATATTTTTTATCGGTCTGTCGGCTGAAATACAGCTCAAAGGTTTTTCATAAAACTTATGATAATAACTAAAGGACGCCATAGTAACCTCCTCTAGCAGAAGAGGTATTCAAACTCTCCAAAATAGATTCTATACTACTTTTTTATTGATGCAACAGTGATTAGAGATCTAGTCCAAACCAAAAAGGAGACAAAATAAACCCTACGATCGCAGTGCCACATTCCATAAGAATAATAATAAACTTCTTTAGGGTGCTGGTAGTATTAACGTCAGCTCTAATTAGAAATCAAATCAAATACAGCAAACATAGCTGATCTAAGCACTGTAAATAACATCTCTCACTCAAATGTCTCCTGTAA